TTCTGGTTACCTATCGGAAGGAGTAAACAGAAGACCGAAAATGCTGTGAATTGTATCATTTCAAAGATTCGAAAATCAGATGTAATATGGATTCTCACTGAAAGTGTACAGATTCCTAATTCTCTCGGTATACGATATTAACACATACCACCCGAGATGTGTACCGATTGATTAGGTTAATTCCGAGGCTCAAAACCGGAGGGACTACTTAATATCAGTTAGATGACCAACCTGGTCCAGGTTCCTCCCCCTCATACACACTCTCAACGCATGTCAAATCATGTAATAAACAAAAGCGAGTTATACTACTATAAATTTGTCTATCTGTGTACATCACTGACATCCGCATCATGTTTTAAACCTCACAAAGACGCTCACGCGGTGCACATTCACCAATTTTCCCACTTCTTTGACACTCTGTCCCTAGAGAACCTGCCACGTCATGATGATAGATTACCAATATGTGGTACGATGCACTTCCCCGGTGATTGTGCTCTGTGGGTAGAGTCGTAACGGTTGCATTACACGTGGACAAGCACACAGAGGCTGTTCCAAGTGTTTTGCTGCTCTTTCATTGAAAAACTTGATTTCAAACCGAAAGACGTCACGTTAAGTCGATGTAGATAGTTGACATTAGTGGAAATTCGGTGAATCAAACACCGTCTTTCGAATGGGGTTTGAATCGTAATGGATAAGATGAAGTTCAACCGAAAAGTGGCACATAAAAGCACTGTACACTTCCCCCACGGTTTTCCCGTGGTGAATATCCCGTCCGGTCAGTTTGAGGAATTCAGATACTGTAGATGGAAAATGAAGGCGGTCTGATTGGCTGCCCGGTGCCCGAGTGGGTAGCATGCTCACGTTCTGCCCGTGAGGTCCCGGGTTCGATCCCCAGCTGGGTCGATGAGTTAGCACTGCCGATGAGACCCAACCAGGTTGAAACAACTGTCCAGTGCTTCCTGGCTTTTCAGGTCACGAGGAATTCCCTAATGAAATTCGGGATTTTTAGTCAAATGTATGACAGTGAACTTATAGAGGCGGGATTTTTGATGAGTTAATATTTTTCTGTGTGCTGACGGATATAAACAGAAAATGAACAGCTGTTCCTTCTAGCGATTCTCGTCATCAGTGACCATGTTGTTGCTATTTACAATCCGAAATCGTGAGTAGTTGTAAATGGGAGGGCGGGGGAGCGTTTTAATAAAACAACATCCAAATTTTTGGTGAACCCAATGTGTCTGCACGCCCCGGTAATCATTTGAGAGAAAGTGTTCCAGGTTTGCGCAGTTCCTTTCACACGTGTCTGTATTCACTTAATCAGTGAAAGTTAATTATCGATCAGCTGTCGTTTTTATTCACAAGTGATTACCGGTAAACACGTTAGAAATGGTGCATAGAAGCGAAATATCTAGGTAATTTTGATCAACACAATGGACTAGTTGTTACTGGGCGAAACAAGAAGAACATAGAGTTCCTTCTTTGGTCAACCGAAAACATATGTGACCATAAGCTTAAACACCAATTTCCTAACACTGACCTCCATAAAATATTCCTATGAACGGGTATTTAATATTAAAATTCATATGTCCAAATTGTGTACTCTTCCTTTTCCCCACGAAGACAAGTCCTCTAATGGTGTACCGTAATGTGTCGACAAATGTGTCTGGTCGTTCAATTAAGTTCATGGACAAAAAGCGACAGAATCTGTAAAGCTCTAATAACAGGAAATGGGGCATTTCAGCTCTATAGACATAGAAGGGAAACTGTCCCTCCGGGTTTTATAGAAATCCGCTCATCACTGTGACAGGCAGCTAGTGTGAGAGGAAGAGCGAGCGAGAGAAACAAGAACTATAGACAGTTTGCAATAAACAAATGTGATGTGTAGAAATTAGTGGAACGTCTACACACAGATGTCACGTGTTTCTAACATTTGATATACCCCATTGCTCAAATGTAAACCGTAAAAATTTCGTACAATGATAGTAATCAATGAAAAACTACTTTAATTATTTATGATCAATTCTAATCTTGAGGGAGATGCGTGTGTGGGGGCTGGGGGAGGGTGCGATCTGTAGGGTGAGGTAAACGACAGAAACTGGTTGATGTGTACGCTTTTTCTTTTATTTTAAGCTACAGTTTAGTGATTAGAGTAATTATTTCCTTCTTTTGTTTTTAACAACGAGGAACCTTTTTGTATTCATATTTTTTGCATGGAATTGATTTTCTGTGTATGTACTCAATGAAAGACGATTGGGCTAGGTAGATAGGTGACTACTACCGATAAATAATTCATCTGCAAATTAAAACATAAGATCTCGTGGTTGATATATTAGTGAGTACTCACTACTGGATTCATATAATGTTCCAGTAACCATTTGACGCTTTAAAAATATTCTGCATCGCCTGGCTTACCGACAAAGTTCCTAGTTCCCCTTTGGTGATCTCCAGTGCAATTTGAGTAAATAATGATCAATCCCGATTCTTAGTACCCCTAGGCGAAAACTTTGTTGTTTGCTGTATTTCTTAGTTCATGCGACTGCAAAATGATCTCCGTAACGTGGAATAAAGTTAAAGGACAGCAATTCAATTAAAATCGCACGTTTAAACAAACACATAATGCAATGCGCTCTAAATTAGCTAAAGCATTAGATAATCAGATCCATCATTTTGGAACGCTTGGCTTGACCAAAGAGGATTGCATAACCCGACCTGATATGTTTGGCTGTGAGAAAATAGGAAAATGTTTACATCTTGATGACTTGACGACATCTTGATAGATTAAGTGATTAGACGACCCAGGCTAATCAGTCTGAATGATTGTAAAACGCATTAGTATGCTACCCTGAGAAGCGATCGTTCGAGCTCTCCTGCAGGAATACGATTTGGCTCAAACAAAACTAATGCACTTACAATTTTTCCAGTATATTACGCTTTATCTATGACCCCCTGTTCCACTCACTTCCCAATGACCATTGTTGATTATGCGATGTGGCAAAATGTGAACAATTTCTGTAATATGATGGCCGAAAAAAAAATCCTAACCCGTAGAAAGAAACGTTTTGTTCAGGAAGCATTCGATGAGTACACACTATGAACGTGACCGTTAGCAAAGACGACCACTCCAAAAGAGTAAGCGATTGCGAACCATGAGTGCATTTGTTCTAAACATCATGG